AAATTAAGTTTCATTTTATTACTGTGACAACCATTCTATTTGGTTATACTAACATTGTAAGCCCTCCCACCCCAAGTTCTGCTGTGCTGCCTCATCATTGGGTGTGTGTATTCCTGGGACAGATGAGCAAAGAACACCAAGAATGTATGTCAATGGTGTAGGTAAACCCAGCAGGATCACCCAAGGCATAAAGGTCATCCCAACTGCCCAGCTAAAGCAAACAGACATCTATATTGGGCAGCAGCAATATAGGAAGATGCTGGAAGCAGAAGATCACTTTAGTGACAACAGCAAAGACATCATTTCATACTGTGCGGGAGAAGACAATGGTAAACCACTCCTGTATTTTACCAAGAAAACCACATGGATAGAAAATACAAAATAATTAACAATGGGCCCTTCAGGTGGGATGGTATTCAACATGCTACTGAGAAAGAACTAAGGATCTTTTGGAATACTAATGGTGTTTATGATGCGGCTAGATTAAAGCCATTGGGATGTCTAGTTATTGATATTGCCCTGCGGGAAAAGAAAATCCAAAGCAGCAGACAGAATTACAGTGAGAACATGAAATGTAAGAAGCATGAACATGGGAAAGCTCTACAGAATGAAAGATGAAATCAAATGACTACAAATTGACATCTTAGACATCAGTGAATTGAGATGAATTGGGATTAGACACTTTCAGTCAGAAGATCACATTGTTTGTTACTCAGGACATGAAAAACAAAGAAAGAATGGCACTGCTTTTATAGTTAGGAAGGGTATAGTAAGAACAGTTCCTGGCTATAATGCAATCAATGTCTGAATAATATCAATAAGACTTCATGGATAACCTTTCAATATGATGATATTCCAAGTTTATGCTCCAGCCACTGATGCAGAAGAAGAGGTTGATGAATTTATGGTCAAGTTCAATCTGAAACTGACAGAAAATGCAAGCATATGCTGCTTGTAGTGGAGACTGGAATGCCCAAGTTGGAAATATTAAGGAAGAAAATGTAATTCGAATGTATGGTCTAGGGAAATGAAATAAAGCAGGAGAGCAATTAATTTCTACCAATCCAATACACTCTTCAAACAACCAAAATGACCCATATATATCTGGACATTACCAGATAAAATGCACAGAAATCAATTTGACTATATGATTTGTCAAGGAAGGTAAAAGAGCTCAGTTATAAAAGCAAAGACATGGCAGCAGGGCTGACTGTGAAACAGATCACAAATTGCGCATGTGTAAGTTCCAAGTAAAGCTAAAGAAGAAGAAAGCCAACCTGTTTCCCCAATAAAATCTTGAGGATATACCTACCATTTTCAAAAAGAACTACAGGAATCACTTTGAAGTCCTGAACCTCATTGATTGGGAACCAAAGAAACTATGAATGAACTTAAAGAAGTTGAAGTGAAACATCAATAACCTGCACTATCCTGATAATACTACTCTGATAGCTGAAAATGCAAATGATTTGCAAGCTCTAATAATTATAGTTAATTGTTTAATTATTTGTTTAATTACATTTATTATATAATTATTATAATATAATTATTATGCAGATGCCACCTGGTGGACAGATTGTTGATGGCTGGCAAATTAAGATTTTGAATGGTGTTTTTTTTCCCTTGGTAGAAATTGACTGCCCTCCTGGGTGAGAGCTGACCTGGTGTGTATTACCTTCCTGAATGAGAAAGGTGACCTGGTGTGTATTACTGAGACCTGGCTGGGTCTGGAGCAGGGGATCTTTCAGAAATGTGCCCAGCCAGTTTCCAGGTATGGCATCAGCCAAGACTCCATGGCAGGGGTGGGAGTGTGGCAGTTGTAATCTGGGAGTCTCTTACAGCTTTCAGGGGCACTGCTCCACAAATTGCTGGATGTAAGACCCTGTTCCTTAAGTTGGGTTCTAGAGATCAGTTGGGATTGTTGTTTCTGTACCAGCCTCCCTGCTGCATAGCAACCTCCCTGCCTGAGCTGACTTGGTCTTGGGGTTGGCAGTGGAGTTCCCCAGGCTTATGGTCCTGTGGATCTTCAAACTGTTTTTCCTGGGGGTGGCATCTGAAGTGGCTCAGGAGTTCATGGCCACCATGACAACCATGGGCCTATCCCAAGTGATTCAGGACCTGACACAGGAGAGTTGTCACACCCCTGATCTGGTTTTCTTGTCACAGAAAGCAGTGACAATATTGGGGAGTTCTTGGTGTCTCCCGTCATGGTCAGATCACGCCCTGGTGACTGAGATTCTCTGGCACTGCCTCCTCCACAGGGGGGCAGGACCTATTAGATTGGTCCACCCCTGGTGACTGAAGGACCCGGAAGGGTTCCAGAGGGAGCTGGGGGTTATTGAGAGGGCAGCTGAGGCCTTGGATCAGATCACACCCATGTGACCTCTCTCCTCTCGTGGATCCCACCGCTCCCTGTGGTTCATGGAGTAGCTAAGAGAGATGAAACAAGAGACATCTAGAGCACCACAGGAGAACAAGGGACAAACTCAATCAAACATGGGTAAGAGCTGCTATTAAGCCGTACCTTGTAGCAGTAAGGGTGGCAAAGGGGCAATACTTTTCCATCCCTATTGCGTCTGCTGATAGCCAACCAGCAGCCTTGTTTAAGGTGACCCGGGTCCTTATGACTGTGAGCTCAACTGCCTGCTCCTTAGATCCATGCCCTTCCCGGCGAGTTAAGCCTGCCCAGGGGGTGTCATGTAGTTGGATCCTAGCAGTGGTTAAATCTTCTTTGAAAGAGGGGGTTGTTCCATCCCCACTTAAGGAGGTGTTGGTTCGCCCCCTTCTCAAGAAGCAATCACTGGATCCTACCATATTGGACAATTTTCATCCAGTATCGAACCACCTCCCTTTTTTAGGGAAGGTTGTGGAGAAGGCGGTTGCACAGCAGCATCAACAGGCCTGGATGAAGCAGATTATCTGGACCCCTTTCAGTCAGGATTCAGGACTGGACATGGGATGGAGACAGCATTGGTCTTGCTTTTAGATGATCTCTGGAGGGAGTAGAACAGGGGTAGTGCATCTGTCCTTGTTCTTCTTGACCTCCCAGCGGCCTTCGATACCATCGACCATGGTATCTTTCTGGATCTGGGCAACACAGTATTGCATTGGTTGTCTTCCTTTCTGCACCAGTACTAGTCGGTGTTAATTGGGAGTGAAAGGTCCCACCCTCAACCCTTACTATGTGGGGTTCTGCAGGGTTCAGTACTCTCTCCACTCCTATTTAACATCTACATCAAGCTGCTGGGTGAGATCATCTGTTGCCATGGGGTGAGGTATTATCAGTATGCTGATGATACTCAGTTATATATCTCCGCCCCGACAAACTAAATGATGCAGTTGACGTCTGGTCCCAGTGCTTGGAGGCTGTAGGGGTTTGGATGGGGAACAACAGGCTTCAGCTAAACCCTGGCAAGACTGACTGGTCCTAGGTTTTTGGGCCTTCTACTTCTGGGACTTTACCATCTTTGGCACTGGATGGGATGGCACTGCCCCAGGTGCCATCTTGGGGTCCTTCTAGACTCACGACTCCTGCTCGATGAGCAGGTGGCAGTCATGGCTAGGGGGGCCTTTGCACAGTTTCATGTTGTGCACCATTTGCACCCCTTCCTGGACTGTGAGGCTCTACTCATAGTCACTCATGCCCTGGTCAACTCCAGAATGGATTATTGTAACATGCTCTGTATGGGGTTGCCCTTGAAGAGCATCCAGAAGCTTCAGCTGGTGCAGAACGTGGCTGCACAGACAGTTACATATGCCCCTAGGAGGGCAAATGTTACACCTCTGTTCTGTGACCTGCATTGGTTGCCAGTTTGCTTCTGGGTGCAATTCAAGATGCTGGTTTTGACCTTTAAAGCCCTACATGGCATGGAACCAGGATATTTGAGGGACTGCCTTTTCCTGATTACATCTACTTATCCCACCATGTCAGGCAGGAGAGGTATGCTGCGGGTCCTGTCTCCAAAGGAGCTCCATCTGGTGAGACCCAGGCAGTATGCCTTTTCTGTTGTAGCCCTTGCCCTCTGGAACATGATTCCCCCCTGAGGTAGATTAGTCCCATCTCTGTTAGCCTTCTGGAAGGCCCTTAAAAGATGCTTCTTTCACCAATCTTGGGGATCCTAGGGACAGCCTGCAAGGTGGCCGTATGAGATTAATTGATGTTTGTTCTCCCGCTTTCTTGGGTTTTATCTGTTTATTTTATTTATTTTTTATTGTTTTTAGATTGTTATGGAGTTTTTAACTGTTGTTGTATTGTATACCACCCAGAGTCACATGCCGTGAGATGGGCAGCTATATAAATATGCTAAATAAAATAAATAAAATTATGATTATATAATTAAGTAATACAATAATACATCAAGAAGCACAATGAAAAAAAATTGGACTAACATTAAATATAAAAGTGATGAAATCAATGACAACAGGTCCAGAACCAGCTTTAGAACTAACAATAAATATACTGAAGTCGAGGACAGTTTCTGCTTTTAGGATCAACTATCAACAGTAAAGGAACCAGCAATCAAGAAATATGCTTGTGGTAGAGTAGCAATGAATGCCTTGAAAAAGATATTCAGATGCCAGGATGTGTCTATACCTACAACAATCAGAATCGTGCAGGCAATGGTTTTCCCTATAACACTATTTGGAAGTGAAAGTTGGACTTTGAAGAAGCAGGATAGAAAAAGCATTGATACTTTTGAAATTTGGTGTTGGAGAAAAATCCTGTGAATACCATGGATAGCCAAGAAAACAAATAGGACATAGAATAAATCAATCCAGAGTTCTTACTCTAGGCACAAATGACCAGGCTCAAATTATCCTACTTCAGACACATTATGCAAAGATCTAGCTGCCTTGAGAAGTCTATAATCCTGGGATAAGTAGAAGGAAACAGAAGGCAATGATGGCAAGTGGCAAGGTTGATAGACTTAATCACATCAGCAATGGGTCCACTGCTGGAAGACCCATTGCTGCAGGAAGGTTGGGGACAGATCATCATGGAGAAAATCTAAGTCAACACTGATCTGACAGCACAAAATCAGTCAATCAACATTGTAAATTATAGTTTTTTCTAAGTAGGTTACTGATCTGATGACAGGAAAATAAAATAATATCAGCAACATTTGTATCTAGTGCTAGTTGTGCATAGTTAGATGCTAAAATCCCTCCATAGTGTATTCCTGTGGATGGTACAATTCCAGTGTCTAAATTTGACCACAATCTGAGCACTGATGCAGTAATATTCTTTTGTATGTTGTATTAGTAATTCTGACTATAATGTAGCCATTTGAGTTGGTTACTTATTTTGTTATAGTGAACTTTATATAGATTTAATCTGTTTTACTAGCAGACAGCTAGCTTTTACTAGCTTTAATTATCTATACTGATTCTTTAAGATAAATAAATTTATCCCATTTATCAAATTTCAACAATAAGTAATGATATGGAATAGAGATGGGGAAATGGGTGAAAGAATGACGTCGGACATCAAAGAAGTAATCCCATCAATAGTGAAGGAGAACTATAAACAGAAATCTTACACTTAGTATAGCTCTGTTGCATATGTGAAATAGGACTATAACTATTAAAGATGTGCAAATCTTCAAAATTATTTGTTTCAATCAAAACTTTTCTTTAGAGCAGTACTGTGAAACAAAGTGGGAGTCCAGTTTTAGTGGGAGTGGCTGCCCCACTACATTTCAAGCTGATAAGAGTGAGCAAGCATTAAGAATACCCGGTTTAAGGACGACCCATAGTTAAGAACAGAGTCTACTGTAGCAAAATTGAGTTAAATACACAATTATTTGAATTAAATACATAATAGTTCAAGTTAATTACACAATATTACTTATATAGTATTATAAAACAATACTATTCTGGCTTACATAAAAATTCAACTTAAGGACAGACCTTGGGAACGGAGCTCGTTCTTAAACTGGGGACTACCTGTGCTCTAATCAATTACATTTTGCTATTTATATGAGATTTGTGGGACTGATCAGCAAGGAGCATTAAGTCTCATCCAAAAAGTTTGTTAAATGACTTAGCTGTAAATGCCATATACTAATGCTTAAAGTTTAAGAAGGAAACATATACAGGGAATCCTCACTTAACGACCACAATTGGGACTGGAATTTAGATTGCTAAGCAATGCAGTCATTAAGCGAATTATCATGTAACCACTTTGCTTAGCAACCGCAATCCCGGCAGTCCCAGTTGCTGTCATTAAGTGAATGCCCCAGTCATTAGGCAAGGCAACTTCCTGCTGGCTTCCCACAATCAAGTCAGTGGGAAAACCAGCAGGAAGTTGCAAGCCCCAAGTGCTGCCAGGTGGGGAAGGGAGTAAGGGGGTGCATGAGGGCATGTAGGAGTCAGTGAGGGTGTGTGGGGGGTGCAGTGGGGGTTGGGTGAGCAAGCATCTCAGAACCACTTGGATTTTCAGCCTGTGGAGAGGCTTCTCAAACCTCTTGTCAGGCCCAGCCCAAGAACAATGATGAAACAATCCAGTCAAATACAGTTCCTTTATTTATTTACACCTTATAGACAGAATCTTGTCAAACTAAATCTATACTACAGCAACTAGTGGATATACTCTGGGAGATTCCAGGGAGTGGCTATCCTGAATCTCTTACTCTTCTCATGCTCCTCCTGCAGACTGTGTTGTCTTTTGTCTCCTTTCCCCTGCTGGAATGCAGCCTCTCCTTCCTGATAGCCTTGATCTCCCACATCACTCTCCTCCTCGTAGATACGTTCCATCACACCTCTCTGCTCCAGGGCCAAAAATCCTCTGCAACTGAAAATCCTGGTTGGATTTTGGCACAGAGCTTTTTCAGCCAGCCCCCAGAGACAGGAGGGAGTCCTCTTGGCAGGCAGCAGTGGCTTGCAATTGCAAGTGCCCTGCGATCATGTGGTCGCCATTTTCAATCTTCCCTGGTGGCTTCCCCAAAAAGTCAATGGGGAAGCAGGCAGGGAAGGTCACAAGCCACTGCTGACTGCCAAGGACTCCCTCTTGAGTCCTTGGCAGGGAGAGGGAGCGCTGCAAAAAAAAAAGGAGGAGGAAGGCTGCTTTCAGTTTTTTTTTTCATTCTTCCCAGAGCAAAGCCAGCCCTGCCCCCTCCCAGGAGCTCCAAAGAGGGCTTTGTACTGGTAAGAAGGGGGCGGGGAAAGGCTGCTTTCAGCTCTTTTTCCCTTCTTCGCAGTGCAAAGCAAGCCTCATACTGTAGAGCGCAGCAGATAGGCCAGGCACACCTCATCACAGTGGGATCAAGAAGACAGCGGCGAAGGTCAGCTGGGATGACGAAGCACAGGGCAGCAGGGGGCCAAAAGGGCAGAAATGGGGAGGGAGATAGGCGGGTGAGGGAAGTAGAAATGCCCCTGTGGTCGTAAGTGCAGGCGGGCTGCCAAGCACCCAAATTTTGAACATGTGATTGCAGGGTGCTGCAATGGTTGTCATTTTGGGCACAGGTTGTAAGTCCATTTTTTCAGCACCATCATAATTTTGATCAGTTACTGAATGAATGGTCTTTAAGCAAGGATTACCTGTAGTCTAACCTGAATAAAACAGTTATCAGAGTTTTGAGTTTCTTTTACCTTTAATTGTACTTTTTCTGATTGTGTGCATTCTAACTGATATTCCAAATCTTTTTGAACTTTAATTGCATGTTTGAAATGATATAGAAAAATATTTAGACAAATTGAGAAATAAAATATATTTAAATTAGCAGGTCTTTTAAAACAATTATGTTATGTGCTAACATGACTTAACGCCATAAAAACACATTAAGAAACAGATAGTTTGATTAGAATCCAATATACAGAGCAAACATAAAAGTTCCAATACAAGATTGTACCTTAATAATTTTGAGTATATTTTACTTTGCACAAGGTTGCAGCTCTTGATAGTTTGTGATAAAAAAGAAGGAAACTTAATAGAAAATTTTAAGACATAATCCTCAATCTAATGAAATAGATGAAAGATGTAATTATGTCAGCTAGAAGAATGATATAAATTAGAAATCCCTTACTAAGACTGGTTCCAATTCTTCAATTCGCTTTTCTTTATCATTTTTCAGTTTGGTCATCATTTCTGCAATAAATTCAAATGTAAATAATATAATGTAATGTTTTCAGTTATGGAGTTACATGTACTTACTTTTTATTTTTAATTTCAAATTGTGAAAATCTGTTCCAATTTTGAATATATGTTTTTCTTGCACACTAAAAATTCAAACTCAGCATGAACATGTGTCTAATTCTTTATCAAATTCTTATCAAGACCATATGGTCTTGTAGCTTGGCAAATAAATGTTGTATTCATTCTCAGGTAGGTGTATAACCATTTGTTTCTTTTTGATTGAGGACCATATTCAGACAAGTAGTGTTCTGAGGATCTCACATAAAAGCTGGGTATATCCAAGAAAAACTGTGGGCAGGACAAGAGCAAAAAAGGATGGATGGATGGATAGATAGATCTGAAGCAATAAAAGAAATCTTAGTCAGATATTTCCAAGAAACCCAAAAGAAAGCAGAGCTAAAAATCCCTTGACAGAATGGCATATTCTCCTATATTTTGCCATAATTGCTTGATATTTTCTTCCCTTAAAAATTGAAAAACACACACAAGTGAATATGTTTTCTGTGAATGCATAGACATGCTCAGAAAACAAGAGTGAAAAGCAGCAAGATTAGAAGGATGTTTTGTCACTTCATACTTCACATAGCTTGATTCCCGAATCAGGGAAATTGTTTTGGTATGCTATCAAATTAAAAGTATAAGTACTAGGGAATCAGGATAAATATTAACACATTTCAATAGAAGAGAATATATGTAGGTCAGGGTTAAACTGTGGAGTTCTTGGTGCTCTCTGAGCTTGGTTGCTTGCAGACATTTCATTACCTAACTAGGTAAACATCATCAGTGCGAGTAAGTGTGGGGTTTGCTGCCTGTTTATATGCAGTATCTTGCCCTGCCAGTTTTGGTGGGAGTGTCATTTTCTCCTTGGTGGTTCCTTGATTAGAGTATTGTTTTCTGCCTGATTGTCTGGTGCTGATCCCTGCTTATTTGAATATGGGCTGCTGGAGGGGATGTGTTGTAGTCTTTTTGCTTCCTTCCTAGGTTTTTTATTGTCTCTTTTGAATGGTATGTAATGAGGTTTATCTTTATGTATCTATTGATGGCTGATTTGTCTGAACGCCAAGCTTCCAGGAATTCTCTAGAATTTTTGGATTTGGCTTGGTTTAAGGTGTTAATAGTTTTCCAGTTGAAACTGTGGTTGCGTCTGTCCATGTATTGTGAGATTAAGGAGTTTTCATCATGTCTTCTCACAGCTAGTCAGTGTTTGTGGATGCACTTTACTAGTATCGGGTTCAGCCCAAAGAACTCCACGAGACAGTGCAGTACAGTTCTGTTGCGTTTATTAGCTTCACCTTAATACAGAAATCTCTCCAGACTGAACCTAAGCTCCCAAGCCAGCAAGCCACAATACCCTGAATTCCTTAGGGTGGTGCCAGTCTCATCTTCTTAAACTTTTCATGCTCCTGTTGAGGGCTAAGGAAACGCTTATCTCCCTGAGCGTGGCCTTCATAACACCATTCCATCACAACTAGTCTTCTGCTTCTCTGCCCTACATAGTGGCTGTTGCAGTCTTTGCATTGTATGTTTGTTTGTTCATATAATCACATTTGTATAGCTGCCAATGTCACATACAGACCATACCTGTTATTACAACCAAATTTGGAGCTAATTAGTTACTCTGAATCATGTGGGTGAATCTTTCTAAACCAGACATAATCCTAAACATTTTGAAATCTCAACTGATTAATAAGAATATCCCTAACAAGTAACAATAACCACAGCATCAGCAATAGCTGTGGCAGGACTGATTTTTTTTTTCAGGATTCAGCCATAGTCCCAATAAAAATCTCCAGATTAGATGGGACACTCACATGGAAGTTTCCTTCTGGGGGAAAGTTTCATTCCCAATATTATTAGAAGGCAATAGGAAGATAAGCAATACAGGTAGTCCTTAACCTATGACCATTCATTCAAAGTTATGACAGTGCAGAATGAATGGTGGTTATGACTGGTCCTGAGAGTTCCAGCTGTCCCACCACTCCTGTAATCACGTGATTGTGATCTGAGCACTTGGAAACTGGTTCACACTTACGACCGGTTACAGTGCCCTGTGATCACATGATTGACATTTGCAACCTTCCCTGCCAGCTTCCCCAGAAAGTCAGTGGAGAAGCCAACAGGGAAGGTTGCAAGTTGCTGTGGTAAGTCTCTCCCACCTGTACACCCTCTCCCGGCCCCTCTACACTCATGCTACGCTGGCTGCTCCAACACCCCCCCCCAAGCCTCACTGCACCTCTCACACACCCGCCCTGACCCATGTATCTTGTGCACCCCCTCACACCTTCGCATACCCTCCCCAACCTGTGCCACACCTCTTGCATACCCCCTCGCACCCTCGCCAACCCTCCCCCTCATCCCCGTGCACCTCCTTGCTCCCTCCCCCACCTGGCAGCAGCTACTTACTTGCCTGTTGGCCTGGAACTTGCAACTTCCTGCCAGCTTTTCCACTAACTTTGGTTGTGGGAAGCTGGCAGGAAGCTGCCTTGCCTAATGACTGTGGGATTCATTTAACAACGGCAACCAGGACCGCAGGGATTTCCGTTGCTAAATAATGCGGTCGCACTTTACGACTGAATCACTTAGAGATAGAAATTCCAGTCCCAATTGCCACCGTAAGTCGAAGACTACCAGTATGCACTGTGACCATGACAGAGGAGGAACAGTGACACTGATATATACAAAATTAACACTGTTACAACAATTGTAATTAGTTCTAAAGAAAAATGTCCCTGTTTTTAGTTTTTCTACATACCTAGTTCAGTTGATTTATTTTGGAGTTCCAGAACTAACGCATCTGACACATCTCTCAATTCCTTTTGCCTATTAAAATAATTTAAAATGTTCAATGAACAGTTTAAGAAAAATTAAAATATGTCTGAATCAATAACTTGAGGATACATTATATAACTACTAAAAACTCACTGAATGGCAGAAATATATTAATATGGCTATAAAGCTAAGATACAGCAGAGTAGTTAAGTGACCATTCCAATTTTCTATAAATTTAGCAAACTGTTTTATCTATAACAATCTAAAGTATTATATCACATATATAAACAAGATCTGTACTGTGGTCAGCTAGACCTGTTTAGGGGCAGTTGCCTGATTTTGCAGTCTCCAACTCCTGAGAGGCTGGGAAGATTAACAATCTACTGGAGAATTCACTGTGTGAGGAATGTGGCAAATCTGTGCCCTGTGGCTGGGAGGGCCCTGAATACAGAACTGGTGGGCCCTCTTCTACTACATGCTACAAACCCAAGAGCTAGGGATCAAGGCAGAGGGTTTTATATGCCCAATTGGATTTGGCCACAAAGTATAGGCAGACTTGAACCAATAGAGGCGAATATGTGTAGCTCAGGGTTGAACTATGGAGTCCTTGGGGTTCTCTGAGCTTGGTTCTTTTCTTGCAAACATTTCATTACCCGGTTAGGTAACATCTTCAGTGCTAGAATGGGATGGGGTTTGCTCTCTGTTTATATACTGTGGCAGACTTGAACCAATAGAGGCGAATATGTGTAGCTCAGGGTTGAACTATGGAGTCCTTGGGGTTCTCTGAGCTTGGTTCTTTTCTTGCAAACATTTCATTACCCGGTTAGGTAACATCTTCAGTGCTAGAATGGGATGGGGTTTGCTCTCTGTTTATATACTGTGGCATGCCCTGCCAGTGTAGGTGGGGGTTTTGTTTTGTTCCTCTGATAGTTCCTTAGGTAATCTGAACAATACCCTAATCAATACCACCTGAACAATACCTTAATCAAGAAACTACCAGAGGAACAAAACAAACCCCCCACCCCCACCTACACTGGCAGGGCATGCCACAGTATATAAACAGAGAGCAAACCCCATCCCGTTCTAGCACTGAAGATGTTACCTAGCCGGGTAACGAAATGTTTGCAAGAAAAGAACCAAGCTCAGAGACCCCCAAGGACTCCATAGTTCAACCCTGAGCTACACATATTCGCCT